TGGTGACCTGGATGTCAGAACCTCTGATATTTCAATAAAGAGCAAAATCCTTAATTCAACAGCAGACACATTGTAGAGAGATCTGATGTGCTCTCCTGCCCATCCCTAATGACTCATAAAGATGAACTTTGTACGGGGACACAGAGAATGGGCTTTTTATCCAAAATAACCAGAAATCGTAAGAAGCTCTAATTTATAAGTTTGATGAATCAACAGCTCGATGATAATTCATTATCACCCTAACTGAGGCATATCTGACTACAGAGACAAAAGGCAAGATGTTAAACAAGACAATTCTTTCTCATCCTGGGACAGGAGCGTCCCTGTCATCACCACGGCCCTGCTGAGACAGAGACAGCAACGCCGAGAGCTCAACCACAACTCCTCAGGCCCACAAAGACCCCTCACAATCCTGCTGCTCAGCTGAGGAAGGCTCCCTGGCACAGAGCTGCTGCCTGCCAGGGGGCAGGGGGGTCAGTGTGGCACGAGCTGTGCCATGCAGTGTCCCTGCCAGCTCCCATGGACAGCTGGGCACGGACTGCCACCAACCTGGGGCTGCTCACTGCTGGCTCCATCCCTGCCACTAACCAGGTGACATTAAAAATGGACAGGGAGAAGGACTCACCAAATTAAACACTCACGCTTCAAAAGCTTTTTCAGCCTCACAGCCCCAGCCCAGCCCCTGCTCTCACATCTCCAGGGCTGCCAATCCTCGGCCATTTCGCTGAAGAAAAAGATCACTTAGAAAATAAGATCTAGTTCAAAATTAATAGTGCAACAAGCCAAGTGGCACCAAAGTAAATCCATCATATAAACAAGCAGAGAGGATTTTCACTGCTTCCAGAAAGAGTGTGGCCTCCTGCAGGAAGGTAATTTCTGCACGAGTGACCAGAAAATAAAGCTGTTAGGTGATACAGTGATAGGTGCTCAAAAATATGATAGATGGAGGAACAAGATTAGCTCTGCTTTATGCACAAGTCCATTTCATTCTTGATCACATACTTTAATGGCAAAGCAGCTGCAGAACTTGCGAATTACAAGCTCTGGCTTTGTTTCCAGAGCTGCTGCATAAATAGTTGTATTTAACAACTCCAGGCAGGCGCTTCCTTCTGTAAATTGTCCCCAGAATGTGCTGTGAGTCTGCAGCAAAGAATTGTTCCCAAAAAATCAGTGTCATATAAATTGGAGAAGCTCAGTATGTCCCTCCATTTCCCTGTTTGCTTTTTGCCCCTGGATCCTTGCAGCAGTTTTTGTGCTGGGGTTGGAGATCTCTGTGCCCAGGGCTGTTGGACAAGGTCCTCAGTCACTCATTGCTTTGTCTGGAAGAGGGAAGAACTCTCCTCAGATTTAATCTATTTCAGCTATTACCTTTCCTGTCTTTGTTACACTGTTTTTTTTCTACACATTAGATAAAGCCTGGCTGGCTGCTGCCAGGAAAATTAGGTCTTCTATTGTTTTACCATTAATTATGGAGAGTTCAAGATAAGGTTTGTGTTCGAAAAGTAGAGGGCAGGAGCAGTTTGAATTTTACTTTCATTATAATTAGACAGGAAATTATGAAAAGGTGAAAAATAATTCATTGAAGAGCTTTCCTCCAGCAAGATAACGAGGAAGGCACATTCTGGCACAGATGGAGTTCACAGGATATTATTGAACACCATTGTTCTCAGCGTGCTGTGCTGGGCACAGGAATGCTCCTGCTGCATTCATGTGGGGCAGGAATGGGCAGGGGGAGGCCCCTGACTCCCTGCTGTTCTACTGAGGGCCTTTTCTCCTGCAAAAATAATCAAAATTAGGCTAAATGAGTCCATGGTGTAAGGCATTGAGTGACTACAGAGATTAACTGGAACATCCAGTCACTTTGTGTGTAACTTGCAAAGGACACGGAGTTATGAGCGATGGAAGGATGAATGAATTGGGCAGCTGTCTCATGTTCACTTACTGAGATAAACAGTTGGACTAAGAAGTTGTCCTCATTACAATTTCTCCATTTGATGCTGATGGTGATTTTTACAGCTACCACGAAACTCCAGAGTCTTCAGAATTTTCCTTCATGTGGAATTACTGCAGTTCAAGCTTTTAAAGGCACTTTTACAAAGGAGGGCATGAACCTTGCCTGGAGCTTCCAACTAAAGGCTGGCCATGCCAAAGCCCCTCAGGGTCCATTTCCTTCTACAAAAAACCTTCTGGAACCAACTTCTGCCAAGTTCCCACCATTTCTTTCCTTCCAGCTTCACAACCCAATGTATTTAGGGTTTGCAGGAAAAGCAGGACACAGGGAGGGAAGTCCTGGAAGAGAGGAGTGTGTGGCAGAAGACCACTGAGGTTATTGAGGTGAAGATGAGGATTTTTGGCCATCCAGATCCAACAGAAGCTTTAGAAACCACATAATGCAGGTGGAGGAGGGGAGAAGGATTCATTTCTTTCCTTGTTGGCAGATAAGGAAACAAGATTCCAAGGGGAATGAGTGATTTACCCACAGTCACACAGGAAATCGGCAAGAGATATGGAAATTAATGCTGAGAAGCATTTCAGTGCCTTAATCATAAAGTCAATCTTTTCCCTCAAATGCCAACAGCATTTAATGCTCCTTTTAAATGATGGAATAAGCACAAGACTTTCATTGACTTACAGGAATGTTTCCATCAAAATATTTTAGAGGGCAGCCAGTTCCATGGAAGGGGACTAATGTCCAAATCTGGGATTTGGATGAACTAAAGCAAGTTCTGCTCTCAGGTTCCTGTGAGGATCATATGCTAAAAATGCAAGGTCCAAAAACCCCAGGTGTGTTTTGTTATATTTACCAGTAACCAGGTAGGCTTTGGGGAAAGGGGCTGGAATATTCTCTGGGTGGGAAGATGTCAGGCTGGGGGATAGAGGGATGAGGACAGGGAAGATTCACATCTCTGGCACACAAATAAATCACTTGTCCATCTCTTGTGCCTTTGCCCATCTCTGAGCAGTATCAGGTCGCTGCCCAGAGAAACACATTTTGTATAAATACATAAGAAACCTGTTTTTATTGAATCTAGCTTAATGTCTTAACTGAAAATAATGATGTTAGAGCAGTGATCAAAGAATTGTCTCATTAATTGGCTATTAAATCATTAGCTATTAAACAGAAATAAAAGGTTAAGAATGCAATGCTCTATTCTGCCCAAAAGAATACAAATATGTCTCCAGCATCAAGGAAACAATAAAGGCAGAATTAATAGTGAAAAGAAGCTTAAGATAAGGCAATTAGATCCAAAATGCCTGACAGCTCTCATTAGAGGGTTTAGCACTACAACCTATATGGAAAAGGCAACAGAAATTCAGAAGCAAAGTCAATATTGACTTTACCAAAGGGGCTTGTAAACGCAATATGCATTTTTCTGAAAAAATATAGGCACATAAAGCCTGCACTAAATTTTAACTCAGCTAATTAATTGTTATGGATTCAATCTTGCAACCAATACATATATTTGCAGTTAAAAAATTATGCCTTCGGTCTCAGTGATTTGTGACTGAAATTATGCAAGTATGCTGCAATTTTCACAAAAATAACATTACTCCCAGTTTGTATCACCAGGATGAGGCAACATCAACACAGCAAAGCCCACGATCAGTCCTCTTGGGTTTGTTCATTATGTCAAAATATCTGAGAGACAGGTATCAGGTCTGGGAGAGGGTCCCAGGGGAATTGCCTACTGCCAGTGATTTGAGACCCAAATCATTTCCTAAGGCAGGCAAATGAAGACCTGATTTATATCAAATCATTAGCAGCAAAAAAAAAAAAAAATATTAAAAATAATAATAATAATAATTAAAAAATACAGTGTAAATCCAGTCTGGTTCAGTCCAGTACTCTCAAAGTACAGCAAGTCCTAGAAACTCAAGTAATAAAAATAGTCCCCACACACCATCTTTTGGATCTGGTTTTCTGAAGTGCAAAAAGAAGACAATCTCAGCAATAAGTTGATGATACAGAACTTGATGCTTGAGTTTATAATATCCAAGTCATTGTTCATGTTTATCAACTGATAAATAACAGTCACTAATCAGATAATAGCTGTATTCTACACAGAGAAAAAATATTAAAAAATAGCAATATTTATCACAGCAGTCTTTTCCTTTGACAATTAATTTACTCATAAACAAAGATATTCATCCATGTTCCTCTGGTAATGACCTTCAAATAAATTTGGTTCCCAGCAAAAGGAAATGGGATTTTTTTCTTTCCCTATCTGATACCTAAGGGAAAATATGGAGCCCATAAATAATACCAAAAACCCCCAACCTGCACAGAATTCTCTGTAGTCAATTTTTAAGTTCATTTGAAACAAGAACACCCCCAAACCACATAAAAAATCAAATTAATCTATTAAAGATATTCAAAAGCACCACTTTTATGCCTAAAAATTATAATAATGAGCTAAAAGCTGAAAGCCATGCAATGGTGTCAGAAGTCAGGCAGGCAGAGTCTTGATAAAGTCACATTAGCACAATTTTCACTGCCATGTCAGGGACACAGAACCACTTGAACATAATGTTTTTAAAAACCCCACTAAAACACAGCACAACGTTGTTTAAAAGCTCACAGCTCTCATTTCAAGACTTCTTGGAATATGGTTGTTATTTCCCATTCCTGTCAGTGCTCCAGATGTTGGGGATCTTTAATTGTAAGGAATTGATTTAATTGCCTGCCCTCTGTGCCAATATTCTGCATCATTGCTGCTGGAGAACAGCCCCAGGGGAGCACAGACCCCTCTGGGAGGATCTGATCCCAGCCTGGGATCACCATCACATCCTTTCTCAGCAGCGCTGGGCAGCAGAGGAGCACTGGGCAGCTCTGCACCAGCCCTGGGGCCGACCCTGCAGGACCTCCCTTGTCACCAGCACCCTCCACCACCAGCAGCCAGCACTGGGGAACCACTGGCCTGTGGAAAATCCCAGTATGGGGCTGCTGGAGGAGGAATAAAACAGATAAACTGCTTTCTCCAGCTCGTGCAGGGCCTCACCTTTATGACGTCTTCATCAGCAGATCTGCACTCGGTGGAGTCCGAGACGTCGAGCACGGAGCCGTCCTCCTGCACTGCGACCACCTTGACTGGAACAGCCACCATCCTGCCCGTGAGGATGGCTGTGTTGAGGATTTCCGTGTCCTGGGGCACACACAAACACAGCACAGGTGTCAGAGGAGCACAACAGCACGGGGATGTCACAGGGCTCAGCACAGAGCCACGGGGATGGGACCCCCCTCGCACCCCTCCAGCTCCCTGCAATGTTTTAGCCGCTTTCTAAGCCAAAGGCTGCATCAGGACCAGCAAGGCCTGGCTCTGACAAACGTGGCTTTGCTCCTTTTGAGCCCATTTACAGGTTTGGCTGAGGGCAGGGGGATCTCTGAGCACAGCCCTGCTCAGTGGGATCTCCAGGACAGCTCCTCCACTCCAACTCCAAACCACCCCAGATGGTGCCAGTGGTTTGGGAGGTGATTATCCACCAGCACAACAGCATCTCTTCCATCCTGCTCCAGCTAACTCTGCTGTGAGTTGGCCATTTATTTCCATAAATACATTAGAAGAAAAACTATGCATCCATATACAATTTTTTGAGTGTTTCCCCATCAAAATCCCACCCAGAGATGCTAAACCACATTTCTCTGCAACCCTGATGAATTCACAGTGCTGGCACTCTAATGACTCCATTAACACAGCCTTCCTTGGTGCGGCTGCAGCTTGATTAATTACTCCAAATGAGTTTCTACAGTGGCCCCTGCCTGGCATAAGCAGGTACAGACTGAGAGGAGCAGCCTCTGCAGAAGCAGTGCTGACTGCCAGCCCAAAAGTTGACACAAAAGCAGGGTAAGGAATGATCTGGGATTTCACAGGGATTCATTCCAGCCCTCTGGAAAAGCCTGGGATAGGAAATACTGCTCTGAATCAATCCCCTTTTCATTTCTCAACTTCCATAAAACTAATTGCTTGCCAGTTGATTGGGGGGGAAAGAAAAAAAAAAAAAAAAAAAAAAAGTTGCTTCGAACTAATCTGACTTTAAATTCCATTATTAGAATTGGTGGAAGAAGGAATGGATTTTAGTGAAAAATTTGATGGCAGCTTGCATTGGGAGATATATCCACTATCATTTGCTCTGGCTGCTGCCTAGATTGATAGAGAATAATGGGCATTGACCACAAGCTAAGGACAGCTGGAGAAGACCAATAAATACTCGCAACTAAGATGTATTATTAATCAATATTCGGAACCTTCTGCAAAAAGCGCCCTGAATTAAATGAGCTGCAGCACTAATAACAGCAGTGCCAGCTAGCTCCGAGAGCCTACGAGATGTTTATGGGCAGCCACGGCCCAGAAAGGCATCGAGCACTCACTCGAGTCCATTTCTGATCAGAACAGCACTAAAAGGACGTGCTCAGCCTCACACTCAGACTTCAATGTGATTTAAGAGTCATCCTGAGCAGAGAAGCTTTTTGGAAAAACACCTCAGGAAATAAGTGCAGGCTTTGCTCTGTTCTCTGTGAGGCGCAAACCAGATGTTTGCCACAGTAAATGACTGTCTAGTTTTTGTTTCTGCTGAATGGGCTCATTTATAACCAGCTGCCAGCCAGGAGAGAGGGACACTGGCAAAGAGATGAGTATGTGACAGAAGTGGAAGTGTGAGAACACAACCGAGAATCCTTTACAAAGACTGGGATTTGAACAAGGCAGAGGAGAAAATGCACTGCCAGGTGAAAGAAAGCACTTAGGTGCATCTCTGGTGGAAAAAAGGTTTTATAAGACAGACAAAGAGAAACTGAAGGTAATTCATCCACAAGTCAGAGAAGAGGTGGTTGGATTTCACCACTGAACACATCCCATATATCCTAAGCCCTCAAATAGCAGATATTTGATGAAGACCTGGTTGTCCTGTGTCAAACGGCTCGTAAAGAGCATTTCTCCAACATCCTCCAACCACAGATGATCTTCAGTGCATCTGGGGGAAATCTGTTTTGGCCAAGGTTACAAACAATGAGCACACGACCAATTCCATTTCCCAGCTCTGTGTTAGCACAGCTGTGAACCCCTCCAGGGCTTGTGTGCAGCCACTGCCCGAGCCAGAGCACTACGAGCCAGGGATTCAAGGCTTCTCTGGACTCTGCTGGACTTGGAGCCAGCTCCTCAGCAGCCCTGATGGATTTCTCGTTTGTTTTTTGTGCTGTTTGTTCTATCACCCGGGTGTTGACCAGCCTGAGTGGCAAAGCACAAACAAGCCTCCAGCCTCCTTTGAAGCCTAAGTGCTCTTTAGCTGCCAAAGCTGCAGGCAGGCTTTGATGCACTGAAGGACAAAGTAAAGTTTCAAAAGGCATTTGCATTCCTTTCATAAGCTCCTGGTGAAGATGAGCAGGAGAAGAACAAGCAGCAGAACTGTCCTGAACTTTCCCAGCACACACAGAACCCCCCGTGCTAATTAGCTGGTGCAGCCTGACAATCCCTGCATTTCACTGCTAAGCAATTCCACCAGACAAATCAATATTTCAGATGCCTGATGCCTGGAGTGAGTGTTACACAAATATAATGGGCTGTGTAAAGGCCTTTTTAAGAGCTGGCTATTTATAAACTGCAAAAATACATTTCCTCTGAGGAATAAATACCAACTAACTGACTGTCCAGTAGATTTATAAACAGACTTTTTAGTGCTTCTTCAACAAGTCATAACATTTCATCTGAATTCTGTAAAGCTTGGTTTCCATTTCCATGGTAGGGTTTACTGCAGGGAAAGAGCTCCTAAACTTTAGCCCCCTGTACTGACAACATGTGGAATGTAGAGAGGGGTCACTGTGCTGATTTACTTGGGTGAGTTCTCCCATGTGGCACAGGAAACATCAACAACAGCCAGGGACCACCAGCACAATCCTCTAACTCTGGGCACTGCAAGGTCCCTGGTAAAAAACTGATAATCCTTTCTCATTTCCTTTGCTGAGGGTTTCAGATCTTGTCCAGCTCCTTCAGCTCAGCAGCCTGGGTGGGGGATACACATTCATATCACAGGCTCCATCCCTGACTAATAATAATAATAATAATAATAATAATAATAATAATAATAATAATAATAATAATAATAATAATAATAATAATAATAATAATAATAATAATAATAATAATAATAATAATAATAATAATAATAATAGCTGAATGCATTTGCACTTCAGCAGAGCTCTTCTTAATTACAACTGTAACCTGCTAATAGCATTTCTTTGTTGTCTGAAGGAATCTACTTCTTATGCAGCCCAGGCCAAATTAAAATTTAATACAACATCAGGTCGCAACAGAACTAGGAAGCAAATGACAGCTGTTTAATTAAAACCTAAAGCTGATTAGATGGCACTACTGAGAGAAATACTCAAGAGGAAGAGCTGAAAACTACTGGAACTCAAGGCTGGGATAATGGCTTTATTTAAATATGAATAAATGCTGCACACAGCCCTAGTAAATGTTTGACAACTGCTGGGTTTGGACAAATGTGGATGAAAAGGGAATGGGAGATGTGTCAGGAGTCATGGGAGAGCTCTGGCTGCTGTCCCCTGCGGATGGAGCTGGGATTCCTGAGGATGGGCAGGAACAAATCAGCCACTCCAGGCACAGAGTTCCCAATAATTGTCCTTTAAACAACACCTCAGTGACCTGAGTGCTCCTTGGGCAGGTGGTTCTGTGGCAGCTCCCCCAGCTCCCTTAAGCACCACCACACAGCACTTCCACCCTCTTTGGTTGAAAAATAAAGACATGGAAAGAAATGGATTCTACATCTCCCAGGAAAGCACCTGAGGAGCCAGGAGCTGCTCCCAGTCCAGCTGCTCCCAGTTCAGCTGCTCCCAGTCCAGCTGATTCCTGCCCCTGGGAGCAGCCAGCACCCTTCCCACCAAGGCTGGCAGCCCCAGCAGCCCAGGCTCCCCTGACAGGAATCATCCCTGTGATTAATGCACGAGCTGCCTGCGCTCTTCTAGAGGTTAACAAAACATGCTACAGTACACTAAACCCAATAAACACTCAATTGTAAATCAGGAGGGAAACCTAAAGCCAACCCTATTCCACTGACAAATGCTACAGTTAAATGCCTTTTGGCATTTAGCTGAAATGACTGTCTTTAGTGAGGAAGGCAGAGAGCTGGAACATTTGTCTGTAGAATTGCATTCCTTCATTATTATTTCTTTCCCCAGAGTGTAGCTCACAAAAATACATTTGTAATATTAGAAGGAGTCTTTTAGGAACCAGTTCTTCTGCCTGGAAACGGCATCTCTTAAAAAATGTAAATTACAGGGCAGATTGTGACGTGTGGGCTGGGCTAGGGGAGGGTTTTTTATTTGATAAATTATTCACCACCTTTTGCTTCAGATCAAAGAGCAAGGCAATATAAATCCATTAAGCAAGCTTAATATATAAATTAGATGCTTTGCTGAAATTATTATAATCCACAGCAATTCTGTACTTTTCCCCCCTTGTGGCTGAATACCATTTTAGGTTTCCAATACATATTAATGAAGCCTGGGTGTGAGAAAACTCCATTGTGTCAGGTGAGGTGTAGCATTCTGTCACCCAAAGGCAAGAACAAACAACTGGGATTACGTGTTTATGAAAGATTAGAAAATATAATCTTGCAAAGAGATGACATTTTTTGACCTTTTTTCCTTCCTCATTTGCTTTCCTTCAAGCATCATTTCAGAGCAGCCACTTGTGGAATCTCCCGTTTCCAGAGCTCTCAGGTGGCAGCACGAGTTCCCCTGCCCTGACCCCACTGTGCTGCAGGAGGATCATTCCCACTCCCCACCAACATCCCCTGCTCTGTTTCCTCATCCCAGCCTGCAGGATCACTGCCAGGAGGGGTCAGCTCTGGCAGAGGGACAATCACAAGCTCTGCAGCCTCTCCTGTCCGAGCTAAAGGTCATCCTCCATCTCTGGTTAGCTGCACGAAGGGTTTGTGTGCTGCAGGGTCCCCAGGGAGGGACAGGCAGGTGCAGGTGTTCTGCAGGAGGAATTCATGCAGACTGAACCGAGCTCCTGATCACTGCTTCTCACTGAACAATGGAAGCAGCAGCCATTAGCCTAATTGAATATTATTCTAGATGTGTATCAGTGCTGCAAAAACAATTTGCTTTAGCACAAAAAAGCACGAT